CTGAAAGATAGGGACTGCCACAACACCGCTCGACTGAGCGATAGTGCGCTGGCAAGTCTCTATCTCAGACAGGGCAGTAACAAAGGCGGTCAGGGTGAGGTCACCAGGGTGCTGGCTTAGGAAGTGGTCGCGGGCAGTGGCTAAGCGGTCCGGCAGGCGCATGGCAATAAGGTACAGGGTAGCGCAGAACGGTGGGGGAAAGGCAGTGAGCAGGGTGGCAGTGCTAGCGGCGCGGTAGCTAGTCTCTAGTGCACAGAGGTGAGTGGCGAGGTCAGCAACATTGGGGAAAGCGGAAAGATCGGGGAATAGCATGGGGAGGATTAGGCGGGCAGCAGAGGCGAAGGCAGGTGTGGAGTAGCGTTCAACTAAGTCATCTAGGAAATCCTTGGCGTTCGCGACAGCAGTGAAGCGCGGACGCTCAGATAGAGGGAGAGCATGACTAATGGTGAGCTGCGTTACGGCATCACGGGAATCCCAGACAACAGGAGCGAGCGCAGCTGCAGAAAAGGCCTCACGCTCAACAATGGTGGGGTCAGCAGTGAGGGGATCAGGCGCGGAGGGGCGGGGAAGCAAACCATCAACATGCACAGCCAGGGAGCGCCCATCCTGGCGCTGACCTGTCAGGTGACGGCGAAGGTCGACAAGCCAAGCCACGCGTGCCCCTCCGCGTCCAGGCGGAGTACAGCGTCTGCCATCGTGCAGCCTTAGCGGCACATCTCCACGGCGGCACTGTGACACGTCGTCGCAGCGGCTCAGCGGCATAGTGACACGGCGGCACAGCGGCACAGCGACACGGCGGCATAGCGCACGGCGGCACGGCAGCGTGGCGGACGGACTCTCCGGTGGGAAGACCGGGCGGAAGGCTGAGCAGGGCGCCTAGGGCATGGGGCGAGCAGCATACCGGTGAGGCGCGATGGGACAGCGGGACTCGAAGGGGGCGGCGGGGCGCCAAGGGCCGGCGGAGCGCTAGGGCCGGCGCGCACGCGAGGGGCCGGTGGGGTACGCGAGGGGCCGGCGGGGTACGCGAGGGGGGGGGGGGGGGGGGATGGCAGGGTGCGCGAGGGGCCGGCGAGGACGCGAGGGGCCGGCGGGCGTGAAAGGGCCGGCAAGGCGTGCGAGGGGTCGGCAAGGCACGCGAGGGGCCGGCGGGCATGCGAGGGGCCGGTGGGCATGCAAGGGGCCGGCGGGGTACGCGCGGGGGGGGGGGGGGGGGGAGGGAGGGGGAGAGGGAGGGCCGGCTGGGTGCGCGAGGGGCCAGCGGGGTACGCGAGGGGCCGGCGAGCAAGCGAGGGGCCGACGGGGTGCGCGAGGGGCCGGCGAGGCGCTAAGGGCCGGCGGGGCGCTAAGGGCCGGCAAGGCGCGCTAGGGGCCAGTGGGGTACGCGAGGAACCGGCGCAGCGTGAAAGGGGCCGGCGGGGTACGTAAGGGGCAGGCATGGCGTTAGGGGACCGGCGGGGCGGTGGGGGCAGGCGGGGTGCGCTAAGGCTAGGGTACGACGGGGCGGTAGGCTAGGGCTATGGCGGAAGCAGGTAGGCGGACCTAACCTAACGATGATACCATATTAGAATAGCAGAATAAACTAGAACAAGTGAGTACAGGGGAGAAATAAGGTTGGAGTTGTACCCTCTAAGAATACAAACCTATCTAGTCTATAACTTCTACATATAAATATATGTATAAGTTGACGAGTGGATATATGGAGCCTAACCCTCCTGACGACATCCCTTTCCTTCTTGTGCCAATGGTTAGGACTGGTGACTTTATGACTTGGTATCAAAGCCATCCGGAGTTCAATTCCTGGTGTACACGCTATCCCAGCGGCGGGGTGTGTCGTGGCACTGGGATAACCATGTCGATCCACTCTCTATCTCTAGGGAGGGTACTGGGGAGGCTTTCCTCGGGGAAGGTGGATATATGCAGCCTAACCCTCCTGATGACATCCCTTCTTGTCCCAGTGGTTAGGACTGGTGACTTTATGACTGTGGACTGTATGGAGGCGAGTCTCAGAATAGCGCATTGGATTAGACAAGGGAATACAGAGTGTTCTTATGAGTGTGTGTTGTACTCTCAAAGGACATGCACCTATCTAGCCTATAACAACAAATATATAAGTTGACACACCCCTTAGGCTAGACAAGGGGCAGTGCCTAGCTAGCAAGAGACACGCAGCCAGGGCTGATTTTATAAGTCCATTTTAGTATGATTGTCTGAAATTTCAGACCAATTTTTTTGCCGATCCTGATTTTTCAGACTTGCCAATTTCGGAATGCTGAACCCTTCAAAGTTACCATACTCACCCGGATAGACGCCCTTAGGGCCGTGTTGGGCTGATAATAGCCCTAGGATCTTTTCAGAATGCTAAGTCCTTATAACAAAGTGCTTGATAGCACAGCGGAAGTCTTGAGTTGAACACTTGTACTGGTATATGAGAACAAGTGTGTTATAATTATAACTCGAAGTATAGCGCAGAATACTATAAGGGGAACATGATTACAGATTTATGATAGAAACGAGGCCTAGGCAATATATAGGGTGATTGACCAGGGTTGAATGTCGAGGGTTGGACCAGACAAGGGCTCGATAGTCCCGAGGGTGACGAGGTCAAAATGGGTTCGGGGCGACTCGGGATAAGGTTGGGGCCGACGAGGTCGGCGGGGGCTGGTTTGGTGCGTGACTTGAAGGCCGAGCCTGCGGACGCAAACTGTTCGCGTGTACTTGCTGTGGCGAGTCCTAGTAAGGAATCGTAATTCCTTACAATCTCCCACCTTCTAAAGGAAGGCACTCCCTTTATCGAGGCCGAACAGCCATTAAGAGTAATCCCCAATGTGAATGTAAGTCTTCAGCCCTGTGACGAGCGTAATGATTACGCCGGCCTGACGAGGTCTTGAGGTCGAACTGCGATCGATGGTCAGAAAGCGTCGAAACAGTCGCTTTTAATCGTGGGCGTCCAAGAAATGTCGAGTTCGTTCGGTCAGCTGAAGAACTCGATATCAAACATGACGTTGTTCGAGTCACATGCGAGAGCATGCGTCCGTATCCCATGAAAGTTAGCGAACTCCTTCAACGAAGTGACGAAATAAGGCGCGGAAGCATATCGGTAACGAATGTTGCTCGAAGATGAATGATGGAACACGCCGGAAGGGTCAGACGAAAAATTGCAGCACGGCTGCACTTCTCCTCCCCCTCCAAGGAGAAATGGCTCCCAACTTCCCAGGTAAAAAAACTCCAGGAAACTCAATGCTCCATGGTAGTCGAAATAATCCCACACTGCTGCATAACATTCTCATGCTCGGGTGCGAAGATGCCGTTGAAGAACCCCAACGAGGATACTCCAAAATCCACTCCAAACAGCTACTGCTCTCCCCTCCGCTCCATGTACCCAGAATACTCCGCAAAATTCGGTCGATATCGCTCATACCCCCGATGATAGCGGGTACTGCTCCAGCTGTAAGTCCATGATCCGCTCCAGCGAAAATGTCGGAACTCCATCGATACTTAACCAAGATTGCAACACTCCTTCACAGCTACCTGTAAGAACACTCGGGCGTCACGGCATCCTTTAGCAGCACCCCCACGGTTTCTCCACCAGGTGTACGCATGAACTGTTTTGGCCGTCGATCAGGGTCAATGCGCATCATATGTTGTCGGTCTCCGCCCAGCTGTTACCCAACTCTAGAAATTCTCCGGTATCCCTATCCACCTGGCCGTGCAGGTGTTCACCCATCTCGCGACTGCTGCAGGTTACCCCAAATCTGCTTCGCTGCTGCTTAACTAACTGAGAATCCACAGAGATAGGAGTGCGCACTCTTCTAGTCAGAGGAGCTTTAACGAGCTCGCCTACTGACCGTTGGACAGCTCCATCCTCCGTCGGAAACTCATCGAACTACACCGCAAAAGTCATAAACTCCTTCTGCTACACCAGGCGAAACCCTCAGCTCCGTTGCAATAGTTACGCCTTAAATTTCGAGGACACCCCATCAGCACAGTGTAGTTTGCAGGTTCACCCCCCCTTATTCAGCCAGCCGTCGATTAGTAAGTCAACACTGCTACCTGATGGAGATGGTGATATTCAGGCGTCATAGCTGAGCGAGCAGCAACCCGAACGCCGCTAACCCTTAACTTCTCCAGTACTCCCGTCGTTCTTCTTCCACTGCTTCAGTTCCTAGCAGGTAACGCTTTCGGCGACCGGTAGAAAAACACCTAATACACACCCAAGGGTGGTGGCCTCCGTTTCCGTTGATCATGGGGGTATGAATCGCTGATCCACGAAAATCGCCTCCCCACGCGGGAAGTCGCCCTCGCAGAGTACACTCACTCCAGCACAGTGTCATCACCTCCAGATGGCCGTCGTGGTGAATAGCGCCGAGGTTGTTAATCCCAGCTGCTCCCACACAACTGCACACCCACACGTCCTTGTGCGATCGTGTCGTTCCGAAATTGTCGGATCCGCCCATTGCCGAAAACAGTCTTTAAGTCCCATCCATCGCCTGCAACTCGCCTACCGCAAACGCCGATACCCGCGACATAGCTACAATTCACCCTGCAACTTGATGGCACGTCCCTCCATTGTCGCCATCCCGCACGCTCCCGACGACCAAATCCCGGCCGCCTGGGACTCCCGTGCATTTTTCTCCTCATGACGAAGCCTTCGCTTTTTTCGGAAGCCAATCCGAAGACTCTGTCCGAACACCCAGAAAATACGAAAGCTCTAACGAACATACCCAAAAAAACACGGCGAAAACGTCGCCCACTCTTCGACAGGAAATAATTCCGTCTACGACCAGGGAAGGGGAGGACCGGCTAATCCCAGCCGTCCATTGGATAGGATCTGACGGCATCGGCAACGCCCGCGAAATTAATCTCCGAGACGTCAGCTCACCATCAGCATCCTTCCGCCCCCTTCCCCGATAGGGTCTGCTCCCCTACCGGAAACCTAATGGGCAGGAACGCAGCTCTGATACCAACTGTTATGAATTATAACTCAGAGAATAACATAGAATACTATAAGGGGAACGTGATTACAGAGTTATGATAGAAATGAGGCCTACGCAATATATAGGGCGATTGACCAGGGTTGAATGTCGAGGGTTGGACCAGTCAACGGCTCAATAGTTCCGAGGGTGACGGGGTCAAAATGGGTTCGGGGCGACTCGAGATCAGGTTGGGGCCGACGAGGTCGGCGGGGGCTGGTTTGGCGCGTGACTTGAGGGCCGAGCCTGGGGACGCGAACTGTTTGCGTGTACTTGCTGTGGCGAGCCCCAGTAAGGAATTGTAATTCCTTACAAAGTGCTTGATGATAGCAAAGGGATACAATGTTCATATAACAATACAAGAGAATATGAAGAGTCTAACTGTTTTGCACTTCGAGGGGTACATTCCCATTTACGGCTCGATAAAGGCGACTTGGGTAACCACCCGTACTGTAATATCGAGACGGTTATTTTTCCTTACTGTCGCGCTGACTCTTGACTCTTGTGATTCTGACTGTTGGGTTGCACGGTCAACGATCTGTGACCATTGCCCTTTTAATAACCTCTGTGAGGTGTCGTCAAACTGCGTGAATCGTCAGGGTAACTGTAGCGGTGTTGACTCGGTTATCCTCGCTGTTGTAGTCTTTATGTATTTCGTATACTCACGCAAGACTCCGAAAATGCCTTAAGTCCTTTTATCATTTCCAACACCCTCCTTCATTTCTGGAGTGTCGATATGGTCGATGTCACTGACGTGTTGCAGTCCAATCAGCAGCATGCAGTACTGGAACTTGGCCTTCATCAGCTTCTTGGTCAAGTAGTCAGCTGCCATTTCGGTGGTGGGCAGTAGACCAATTGGAGGCGGCCCTGCTCGATTTCGTCCTTGACGAAGTAGTCACGAAGCGAGATGTGCTTCTTCCCGTTCGCGAATCCTTTTTTTTTTACGATTCTGATTGCCGATTGGTTGTCGCAGCAGAGAGAGAAGGTCGGTAACTCGGGATTCTTCGCCTCTTCGAGCAGCTCGCACACAGTCCTTCCTTTGTAGCTACGCAGAGGGCGATTTATTTCTGCTTTCCCGAGTGCCAGGAGATATTTTTGATAGGTTCCAGGCGGTAGATAAAGCTGGTGCATGAACGGCGGTTGTCCTTATCGCTGGCGTGATCGGCGTCGACGTAGCCGATGAGTTCGGTTTTAGTCGCGGCGTTCTTGTGGTAGGTTAGTCTGATCGTCAGGGTCGAGACTAAGTAGTGGAGCGCGCGGTCGAGTTCCGCCAGATTCCCCCCTTCAGGTCGCTTAAGGTATGTAGCAAGCTGGCTAGCAGCGTAGGAGAGATCAGGACGGCAGGTGACGGCGGCGAACAGCAGACAGCCGAGCTCCTAAATCCCAGCCGGTGTGAGTAGTGAGGCGGTCAACGCGGGTGCTGGCAGCGCGTAGGTGTACGGAGTAGCGAGAGGTAGCGGGGACAGATCGAATCAGCGAGTGATGGTGTCGGCGTACTTCGATCGTGATTGTGAGCTGGAGTTCCAGCTCGCCTTCAAACTAGATCGTGATGGAAGTGGTGGAGCCAATGTAGAGCAGGTCGTCCACATAGATGATCAGCAGGACATAGTCGCCGCTGCGGGACGGGCAATACATGCCCTGGTCGTGCGGTAGCTGGGCGAAGCCCATGTCGGTGAGGATGCAGTGCAGGTACTGCTGCCACAGGCGCGGAGCCTGCTTGATCCCGTAGAGGGATTTGAGCAGTTGGCAGACCATCGTTGGGTCGTCGACCTAGGTGTGGGGCTGCTCCACGAAGATGTCGGCGTCGACTGGGGCGTAGAGGAAGGCGGTGGCAACGTCGATTTGGCGCAGGGGAAGGCGACGAGCGACGGCGAGGAGGATTCGAAGGGAAGCGTGGCGGCTGACAGGAGCAAACGGCTCCGTATAGTTGCTGCCGTACTGCTGTTCGAATCCGCGAATGACCCATCGTGCTTTGAAGCGAACAAGGGTTCCATCTCCCTTGGTTTTTACTCGGAACACCCATTTTCCCGACAGGATTGTTTTTCCCTTGGTTTGGGAGATCGGGATCAGCTTTGAAGGTGTTTCTTTCATGTAGCGCCGCTAATTCCCTGTCCATTGACTCCCTCATTTCTCCCTGTCTGGCCTTTGCAGCGCTCGCTTGACAGTCTTCGGCTCCTCAACTGGCGACGGTGACAGAGGATGCACCGCTGCTACCAGTCCGAGGATTTGAAGTCCAGTCTTGGTGTAGCGGGGGAGGGTTGGATCCTCGGGATAAGATGCTTCGTCGCCTACTTCAGGATTAGGTACGAAACCTGGTCCTACGCGTTCTGAGACATTTGTGTCGACGTTGTCGGGTGTTATGTAACCAATGTCGGCGAAGTGGTAGTAGGCTTCGGCATTCGCACTTTTGCGAGGGTTATCGTCGTCCATCTGCATGTCGATGAAGCAGTAGGGAACTGGTCCTGCAACTGCTGACGCATCAGGGATGTTCTGCTCCTCCAGGTCAGCTTCTTCTTCGGTCGAGGCGAACGCGCGTGCTCCAGCAAAGCCACCGGATGGGTCCCAATTGGCTGCGATAGTCTCCAGGTAATGATTGAACGTGAGGTTTTCGTAGAAAATCACGTCACGTGCCATAACGGTTTCCTTATCCTCGACGTCAAAGATTTTCCAGGCCTTGTAGTGTTTTTCCACACCGAGGTGTAGACCCCATCTTGCCCGCTGCGAAAATCGTCCAGCTCTTGCAGTGTGTGGACGGTACTGTACCATGCACCTGAACACTCATAACAATTTTGTGCTGCCTTGCTTCCCTGTCCACAGCAGATGTGGTGATGCGTTGTTTGGTAAGGAGCTTGACGACAGGAGATTCTGTAGCATGACGGCGTGAGTCATCGCCTCTGGCCACTGCGAGTTGGGTAGTCGCATCCCGGTCAATAACTTCCTCATGTTGTTCTGTAGGGTCCGATTCATCCTCTCTACTACGCCGTTTTTTTGGTGAGCGTAGGGAACGGTGATGAGCCTCTTAATTCCCCTTTCTGCGAGGTAGTCCTTGAATCATTGTGATTGATACTCCATCGCTCCATCGGACTGAAAGCTTTCTAGCTTCGTGTCTACCTCCCGTTCTGCTGCAGCAAGCCATGCGGCGAAGGCAGAGAAGGCGAGGTCGCGTAACGGTAGGTTAAGATGCCAATTGTATCTTGTCGCGGCATCGACAAAGGTGATTACGTAGTTGAGGTCGGCCCGGCCGACTTATCGCGGGATGTAGAGTATATCGCTGTAGATGTTCTCGAGTGGAGTGTACTCTGGTGCGCTGGGGTAATGATGTGATGGGAACGGCTGACGAGGAAGAACTGCTTCCGGGCAGATAAAGCAGGTACGTCGCGGTCGGCGAAGTTCTCAGATGGTACCAGAAGCCATTGCGGTCGAACCCGGGGTCAAGATCCGGCGGGTGCCTCCAGGGTGCGAAGGAGACGACGCCGTCGCTGTCGGCGGTCCCTCGGTCCAGAACGAAGTCCAAGACGAAGACTCCGTGCTTCTGAATGGCTCTGCTGATGAAGAGGCCGCCCTTCCCGTGGTGGAGTCGGAACTCTCGGTCGAAGCTGTCGCACTCCAGCTGAATTCCCTTTGACATTAGCTGGCTAACGCTTAAGAGGTTGTAACCGAGGTTGTCGACGACGAGTACTCGTGACATTTGTAATATCACGTTCGTCTCGCTTGATTGTAACTGAACAACTCCCTCCTTCCTTGTACACATGTTCTGGATGTTGGCGACAGTGATGACGACTTCACGGCTCAACATCTTCTCTTGCTGGACGAAGCGTGTTGAAGAACACATGTGCTGGCCACAGCAGCTATCAAGAAACCATGTGTTGTGGCCAGACAGTCGTTGTGAGCGATTGCAACGCAAGTCGGGTTCGGTTGGAGCCGGGTTTGTGTCGGAGCGGGAGGTTGTTCGTCGAGATCGTTGTGTGGTGGAGAGTCGGTACGCAGAAGTCCATTCGAGCCATACAACTGATGACATTCCTTGCGTCTTGTGTAGAGCGGTTCGTCGGAGCTGATCTGCTGAGTTGAAGCGACCGGATTCGGTGACGGACGTGGCGCTCGGGGTTGATACTGTGAGAACTGCAGCTGCTGCTGGATGGACGAGGATGGACTCCTCGTGTGGCTACGGGAAGAAGTGAAGCCCTTCCCGAGGCCTTCGTTCGGCCGGCGCGCGAAGTCGGCAATCCTGGTCTTTTACTGGTCATCTCACTGACCGCGTGATGGCTGAGCTGAGGGAGCAGGGAATCATTCCCGCCACCATCCCAAGCGGCTGCACAAGCCTCCTCCAGCCGCTGGACGTCTACAAGGCGCACGTGCGAGGGGACTACCAGGACTGGTTCGACGAGATTGGCGTCAACCTCACCACGCCGAAGGGTATGAACCTCTCGCTAACCCCTTCATCCCCTTCAACCGTCTGTAGGGCGAAACACCCTTGAGTAGGTGGGGCTAATAATCGAATAAGGTGCATAAGCCCCATGCGCTGAATAAAGGACTCAGGGTCCCATCCCCTGGGGGGGCGCATATCCGGGTGGATACGGTACGCCCTAAGCAGACATCACAATTCAGGGAAGGTCGACCATATTTCATGCAGTGCAACTCCTAGCATGGGAAGCAGCCGGATTAACATGACCCATGCACGCATGCCAATGACTCCATGCATGCATGCCAATTAACATTGAATAAACCACAAGGTGCTCGTTTGCCCAACATCTTCTTTGCTGCCAAATGGATCTAAGGTGTTAGTGACGGCAGCAGTCCGCCCTCAGCGGAAAGGAGGGGAGGCATGTAGATACGAAGTCAGGTGAGTGGCCAGGTCAGCGTAGGTGCCTTGCAGCTGGCGCAGCAAGCAGTGACACGCGGCAAGGAGCCGAGGAGGCCAGAGGCATGTGCTAGGGTATGAAGGCAGCGAAGCGGGCGTCTCTTGGCGTGTCAGGCACCTGCACAAATGGGAGGGTCAGGAGCTGCAGGCAGCGAGGAGGCAGAGCGCAGGAAGAGGGTGAGATATGGGTGGGTCAAGGTGCTTTGAGGCGCCTCAAAAGAGGGTGAGATATGGGTGGGTCAAGGTGCTTTGAGGCGCCTCAAAAGAGGGTGAGATATGGGTGGGTCAAGGTGCTTTTGAGGCGCCTCAAAGAGGGTGAGATATGGGTGGGTCAAGGTGCTTTTGAGGCGCCTCAAAAGAGGGTGAGATATGGGTGGGTCAAGGTGCTTTTGAGGCGCCTCAAAAGAGGGTGAGATATGGGTGGGTCAAGGTGCTTTTGAGGCGCCTCAAAGAGGGTGAGATATGGGTGGGTCAAGGTGCTTTTGAGGCGCCTCAAAAGAGGGTGAGATATGGGTGGGTCAAGGTTCTTTTGAGGCGCCTCAAAAGAGGGTGAGATATGGGTGGGTCAAGGTGCTTTTGAGGGCGCCTCAAAAGAGGGTGAGATATGGGTGGGTCAAGGTGCTTTTCAGGCGGCCTCAAAGAGGGTGAGATATGGGTGGGTCAAGGTTCTTTGAGGCGCCTCAAAAGAGGTGAGATAATGGGTGGGTCAAGGTGCTTTTGAGGCGCCTCAAAAGAGGGTGAGATATGGGTGGGTCAAGGTGCTTTGAGGCGCCTCAAAAGAGGGTGAGATATGGGTGGGTCAAGGTGCTTTTGAGGCGCCTCAAAAGAGGGTGAGATATGGGTGGGTCAAGGTGCTTTTCAGGCGCCTCAAAAGAGGGTGAGATATGGGTGGGTCAAGGTGCTTTTCAGGCGCCTCAAAAGAGGGTGAGATATGGGTGGGTCAAAGGTGGCTTTTCAGGCGCCTCAAAGAGGGTGAGATATGGTGGGCAAGGTGTTAGCGCTCAAAGAGGGTGAGATATGGGTGGGTCAAGGTGCTTTTTCAGGCGCCTCAAAAAGAGGGTGAGATATGGGTGGGTCAAGGTGCTTTTGCAGGCGCCTCAAAAGAGGGTGAGATATGGGTGGGTCAAGGTGCTTTTCAGGCGCCTCAAAAGAGGGTGAGATATGGGTGGGTCAAGGTGCTTTTCAGGCGCCTCAAAAGAGGGTGAGATATGGGTGGATCAAGGTGCTTTTGAGGCGCCTCAAAAGAGGGTGAGATATGGGTGGGTCAAGGTGCTTTTCAGGCGCCTCAAAAGAGGGTGAGATATGGGTGGGTCAAGGTGCTTTTCAGGCGCCTCAAAAGAGGGTGAGATATGGGTGGGTCAAGGTGCTTTTCAGGCGCTCAAAAAAGAGGGTGAGATATGGGTGGGTCAAGGTGCTTTTCAGGCGCCTCAAAAGAGGGTGAGATATGGGTGGGTCAAGGTGCTTTTGAGGCGCCTCAAAAGAGGGTGAGATATGGGTGGATCAAGGTGCTTTTGAGGCGCCTCAAAAGAGGGTGAGATATGGGTGGATCAAGGTGCTTTTCAGGCGCCTCAAAAGAGGGTGAGATATGGGTGGGTCAAGGTGCTTTTCAGGCGCCTCAAAAGAGGGTGAGATATGGGTGGGTCAAGGTGCTTTTCAGGCGCCTCAAAAGAGGGTGGGATATGGGTGGGTCAAGGTGCTTTTGAGGCGCCTCAAAAGAGGGTGAGATATGGGTGGGTCAAGGTGCTTTTCAAAGGAGGGAATAGGGGGTGGAA